TAAAAAACGTTCTGTGTCCCAATCCGAGCAGGCTGCATCAGTTCTTGTGACAAGGCTTTACGACCGCACGAGACTGAGTTGGTGTGGAAAGAAATTCAATGATTCATGCATCTGATGACTCGGCTCTCCTTGCCCTCTCACGTGGGCAAGGAGAGCCACACTCGCACTTTTAGCTGCTCAATAAATCAAACAAACGGTCAAAACTCGCATGGAGCTGCTGTAGGCAACACCTCACGCCAAGACACTCACGCGGAGACGAACCGACCAACCCAACTCCAGCTCTCCATGTCACTCATGAGGCCACGCCTCTTTAAGAAGTCACGGGAACCCGACAGTACTTCTTTATTTCTTTTTCAATTTTCAATATTACACTTTGTATCCAATACAGTGCTATCACGTGATAAAAAATGTACCTTTGTTTGTTTTTTGCCATTTGAGCTCACTGAAAGGTGTACCTAATTTAGTGTCCCGGGAGTGCAGATTGAATCCAAGGTTCTCAAAACATCAAATATTGAGTAGAAGCTCTCCAGCAGGCTTTTAGTGGATTTATTTATTCCGTTTTTCATCATATATATATATTTCACCTGAACACCCTGTTGCTGACGGCTGACACCCGTTAGGAGTCGAGCCTCTCGACGTATCGCAGATGTTTTTTGTTTTTTTTCTTCCTCCTCACATCCTCCACAGGGGGTGTTTGGGGAGAAGAGTTGACATGTTAATTGATGCTTTGCAGACTTATTTTTTTCCCCCTCGCTGCTCTCCGGGGAGCTTCCTTCTCCTCCCCCCTCCTCCTCCTACTTGCTATGATTTGTGGGGCGTCTTGTGTGATCAGAGCTGCTTTAAGATGACAAGGAGGAGATCATCAGGAGGAGACGTTCAGGTTCAAAGGGAACAAGCACCTCCTATTTCTCCTCCTGGAACATCAAAAAGGTTTTTATTTTTGGTTATCATTTAGAGGCAAACATTATTCTGCATTAGTTCTTGTAACGCAATGGTTAATTATGAAAAATATGTTGAATAATTTTTTTATTGTATGAATAATCACAATTAAGTGTTGTGTACTTTTTCAAACTAATATAAAAAAAATTCTGGTTAAAACTAGTCCCCCCTGAATTTTCTTTTTGTAATTAAAACTATAAGTACACAGAATTATGTTGTGAGCTTGTAAACTGGCGGCCATGGTGAGCAACCGGTGAGCACTCCAGCCTCAGAGTGCAGAGGTGCTGGGTTTGATTCCGGCTCTGGCCTTCCTGTGTTGCATATTCTCACGGTGCCTGTGTGGGTTTTCTCCGGGTGCTCCGGTTTCACCTCACATTCCAAAAACATGCATGGCAGGCTAATGGAACACTCTCTAAATTGTTCCTAGGTGTGAATATGAGTGTGAATGGTTGTTTGTCTATGTGTGCCCTGCGATTGGCTGGCAACCGGTTCAGGGTGTCCCCCGCCTACTGCCCGAAGTCACCTGGAATAGGCTCCGGCACATTTGCAACCCTTGTGAGGATAAGCGGGTTGGAAAATGGATGGATGGATGGGGTTGGAAAGTGAATTTATCTTAATTACTAAGAGGAGAAAATATGTCAATTAACTATGATCAGGATATTTTTTGTACCTAGTTATTTTATGATTATAATTATCCTAAAATGTGTGATTTGCATTGAGCTTCATGTAAACAAAATCAATCAATTTCAAATTTCAGCTCCGTGTAATGTGAACATATCCTACATTCTAAGCATTTTATTTTCAGACAAAGTGGAGATTTGTCAATTTTATTTTTAGATCGATATGTATTTTCTAGCTAAACTGCCCATGATTTTAATTTGAATAATGGGTGACAAAGTGGATATATTTTTTACACTCTATGTATCTATCTATTAATCTAGCTAGCTAGCAGGCTAGCTAGCAGGCTCGAGCTAGCAGGCTAGCTAATAGACTAGCTAATAGGCTAGCTAGCTGGCTAGATAGCTGGCAAGCTATCACCTGCTCAGACTTTTAGTATCATTGTTGTTGTCCGGCAGGTGTGTGTGAACACAACTAAATCAGCAAAGTCCTCACCTTGCATGTGAATTCCCACCCTAGTGATTTTGCCATTTGTTTTAGAGCGCTGGACAAAAAAACAAACCTCTGGTGAACAAATTAGAGCATGGAAAAGTTGAGTGAGGGAAGCAGCTCCGTGCAATGATTGGAATGTGATTCATATCGCAGCCTGTGAAGGCAAAGATGTATTCTTGCGCGGGTGTGAGCACTCCTATCAATAGCCGTCTGATGTGACTGTGTGCAAAAGGAATCTTAATTTTTCATCTCGCGGCTTACACTTCTTTTCTCTGACACCAAATTTGCCTCAAAACATTATCTATTGTCATTTAACTGATCCATTTGGACAGGGAAGTGAGAGAAAACAGCACTCAATATCTCTACTGAAACACTTTTGCTCACAGAAAGTTTGCATTCTGCATTTGATAGGCTAGCTAGGATTCCACTTTTCTGTAATATTTTGCCATTACTGTAGTGATGTGAAATGGACTAAAAAAAAGGACTTCATTGGGCATGGGAATGTGTTTTGTCACTAAACACTCTATTTGTTTAAAAGCAGGCTATTCGAAGCATGACGTTTGGTTTCCCATTTAAAGGAAATAGTTTGCAATTAAAACACCAGATTTGCTCACAAACGGTCTACACATGCGTGGACATAAAAGATTTGTCACTCAAACACTTGTTTGCCAAACGCCTATATTTGTCGTTGTTTCCTTAAAAAGTATAGTAAAATGTCAGATTTTTGTTTAAATCACCCATATTTTCCGTTAAATGCGACATTTTCTCATTAAAAGACAAAATCTGCTCTCAAAAAGGCTAAAACATGTTTAATTTGTGCATAAAGAGGCCGTTTTACTGGTTACATTATTATTAAACTGCCTAGTTTGTCATTTGAATGCAATATTTACGTGACATTACATTTGCTCACAAAATGACCTGATAATGTTATATATTGGCACTAAAATACATCAAGATCATACTTTGACAATAAATATATAATAATAATTGATAATAATAATGATAATAATGTTGCTTATGGTGTAGTGGTACACTCGCCGGACATGTGTGCGGGCAGTGTGGGGACAGGTTCACACTCAGTGATGGTGTAGATGAGGGTGTGAAAATTTGTTTGTCTCTATATCTGCCCTGCGACTAACTGGCGACCAGTTCAGGGTCAGCTGGGATAGGCTCCAGCAATTCTGATATATGAAAGAGAGAGAGAGTATACGTAATACAAACAACCACACAGCTTTGCTAGTTTTTTGTTCACAGTAATGGGAAACACCATAGACGGGCTAACAAGTAGCATGTATGGAGCGGTGCTATAACACTCTGAGCGGCAAATAACTAAACACAAACGGTGACACACAGGCAGACAATACAACAATACTTTCGGGTATATATTATTTATCCTCGGCAAAGAACGATTTCCGGTCCTGTGGTTTCATGAGTGTACTGTATTTGTAATATTATGTAGTGCTATTTTCTTTAACTGTGACTTAGCTCCACTAAAGCACCACATTTACTTACAAAAAGGCCACATTAGGAACAAATAGTTCATGTTTTGCCTCTAAAACGCAGGAAAACTCAAGATTACGCAGTATATCTTGCGAGTAATGCATTCCAATGCAGTGTTTTGGTTTATGATGTTGGTTTTACTGGCTGCATATGTACAGGAGGCATGTAGGTATTTTTTTAAATGATACAACATACAAAGTATTTTGTTGCTGTTTTTTTGCGAAAACTCCTCATTCCCAGTATGTTTGAAACACATTGAATAATCTGACCGTAATAATCCCTGCAGGTGGGCCCATCCCTCTAATCTGCCCAAATCAAATGAGATCCGTCACACGTCCCCCTAATGGCCGCCGCAGATTGTGTGCAAAAATCTGCATGAATAATTCAGGGCCCCTTTGTATTATTCATGCCAGCGGCTTTAAAAGGCCCGCCACACACTTTTTACAGCGGGAACTTTCTTCCTGCAGGGTCAGGCCACGACGTGTTCGGGGACTGTGGGATATGACAGCGACTATGCTTAGTTTTGCTCGTCTCAGGTGTCCTCTTCCAGCTACGGTGACAGTGCAGTAATGTCACTTTGGGTCACAGACCCGTGCTCTGAAAGTAAAATGGTTCAGTAGCACCGCCTCCCCTGGATATTTGGGTAGATTCAGACCACAAAGCACGTTTAATTTAGCAACATGAAACTTGGTAGACATATCTAAAAGAGGGAGAGGTGCAGGGTTCGATTCCAGCTCTGCCCTTCCTGTGTGGAATTTGCATGTTCTCCCTGTGCCTGCGTGGGTTTTCTCCGGGTACTCCAATTTTCTCCCACATTCCAAAAACAGGTATGGCAGGCTGATTGAACACTCAAAATTGTCCTTAGGTGTGAGTGTGAGCGCGGATCGTTGTTCATCTCTGTGTGCCCTGCGATTAGCTAGGATGGGCTCCGGCACTTGTGAGGATCAGCGGATTAGAAAGTGGATGGATGGATGTCTAACATGAGTAGCCCCACAAAAAAGTCTCAAATAGCCATGCCCAAAAAGGTACAAGAAGTCAACTATTTTGGATTGAAGCAGTCATTTTAGGCTCATTCTGATTTTCATTCTGATTTAAAAAAATTCAGCCCTCAAAAGCTGCTTCCCTTAGCAATATGAAAATTGGGAGACATGTCTATCATGAGGAGCCCTACAAGAAAGTCTAAAGAGGCGAGGAGACACAGTGAGTCTGCCATTTTGATTCAAAGCCGCCATTTTGGCCACTCATGGAAAACCCAAAAATTATGCCCTGAAAATCTGTTTCACTTAACATTGTGAAATTCGGTACAGAGGTCTGTCATGAGACTACCCACAAAAAAAGTCTGAAGAAGTCACGCCTGAAAAGAGAAATCTTGCGATTTTGCTATGAAGCTGAAATTATAATCACAATTGGCTCAGTTGCACCCAACCAAATGTTTCTGGTTTTAAATTCAGCCAAGTCCTGGTTCATTTAGCAACATGGAATTTGGTGGTCATCTCTATCATGAGCTGACCTAAAAAAAAAAAACTGTCAGGAAGACATGCCTGAAAAGATATAGGAAGTCAGCCATTTTGGTTTGAAGCATCAATTTGAGGCTCAATTAATTCACTTGTGCCCACTGATATATTCTGGCCCCAGAGCCACTTGTATGTAGCATAAGACATTTGCTCCACATGTCTATCATGGATAAACCACAAATAAAGTCTCAAAATGCTTTGTCTGAAAATACATAAGAAGCCTGCCATGATGGTTTGAAGTGGCAATTGTAGATTGCGACGCTGTGAAAAGATTGACACTGACAGAAAGACTGCATTACGCTAGTCAATAAAATTAATCATATTTTGTGTGTGCATAATTATCACCACCAAATCTTGAAAGTAAATCTCTTTTATTTTCACAAATGTTCATACCCAACCTTTCAATTCCTAGCATAACACTTGATTCCTTCCAAGAACAAACGAGACTACTATGAGGCTCTTTAATCAGTGCGGATGCGACAGACGGCGTCGCTCGGTGGGGAAGCAAACCTTCCCTGGTGTCAATAAGCGACATTTTCCGTTTTCTTTTAACCCCAATTTACACAAAATCCAGCGCGGCTCGATAAATCGTAAACTTTCTGCCGCAGTCTCGCTGACAAGCGTCTGTGAGATATTCTGCGCGAAGGTGAGGGGCTGCTGTGATTAAACAGGAAGGCATTAGCAGCCAGTTAGTGCTTGCTCACTCGCTCGCTCGCTTTTCCCGCCTCGCTCAGGTGCTTTTAATCCCGCCGCCTTTGTCGCCTCCATCTTTAAGACCACGTCGTCCGTGCACCGTAAAAAAGAAGTAAAGTTTTTTAATAAGGCCCAAAACTTTGGAAGTTCCTAAAGCGGAGAATCAAGATCAAACTGGCGCCAAAGACAAAGAGATCTGAGGCACTTGGAAAAAAAAGGTCGTCCTTCAAAGAATTTGCAGAAGAAGTATAGTTTGAATGTGTAATGCAATACAGGTAACTGGAAGGCCATTTTAGCAAAGGAGAGCCATGCTCCTCATATACGCAGTGATATGAAGTGAAATGATTCGCAATTGAATGTCGTCCATCTGCCTTTCAAAAAGGGTCAAATTTGGTAGTAATTGGACAAAATCTCAAAGAGCTGGAAATGACCATAATAAACTAAAAAATGGCCAAAATGAAACAAAATTGCAGATTGTGTGTCTTCTCAGGCATGGTTCGTTGACTTTTTTTTGTGGGTCCACTCATGATAGACATGCGTTTCAAGTTGCAAGTTCAAACACATTTAATGAGCTCAATTTTTGACTTCCAAAATGATCTTTAAAAGCAGGGCTTTGAACCAATTTAGCAGACTTCCTGTGTCCTTTCAACCATAGGCCCTTGAGACTTTTTTTTAATGAAAAAAAATAGTTACACTAAAAAGTTACTAACTTCACAAGACTGAAAAAAATAATAGTGGCTCTCTTTGCACATGTACAGTATGACAGCTGAGAGTTGATCTGGTTTCTTCCTATTTGCCTTGCTTGCGAGGGTGTACCAAATGTGGTGACTCATGAATATCGAGCAATCAACTTTGAATAAATACGTTCAACTTTTTAATAAATAAACTTTTTTTCATATCCAATTAATAATTGGATTCATTGTAACATCTGCAGGAGATGTCACGATGGCCAGTAAAGTGTGTGTGTGTGTGTGTGTGTGTGTGTGTGTGTGTGTGTGTGTGTGTGTGTGTGTGTGTGTGTGTGTGTGTTCGCGCGCGCACGCGCGTGCGTCCACGTGGGTGAGTGAATGTGTCATTTGTGATGTTTTTTTTCCCCCCTACCTAGCATATGTGCCATCATTAGCCTCAGTCTGCATCTTCCTCCCAGCGAGCACATACATTATGGATGCTCTTCATCCTCATTCTTCCTCCTCCTCAGTATGACAATCGTCCTCACTCTTCCTCGGCGCGGTCTCGTAGCTAATAAATAAATAAATAAATTAGACTAATAAATAAATGATCACCAATAAAGCTATACTTTGCTGCCATCAAGTGGCTGTTCTGTACTATGCGCCATTATGAAATACAAAATGAACTTATTGCTCGGTTGAGGGGATGCTTTCTACAGTAAAGGGAAAAAAGCGATAATATTCTGTACGACTTTAGGATTCCTTTTTCTTTAAAGACTATTCAAGTTGGGCCTGACCCGATTACTGGTGCAATTTCACGCTTAACACACCCCAGACAATCGTCGAATCTTACAAATCATACGATAGTCGAGCTTTTGACGTCCTCTGTCAGGAAGAGGCAAAATCGGGACAGAAGCAGCCCGGGTGTCTTTCTGTGTGTGTACCGGCCTACGGGAAGCTGACGAAGGCAAATATTTTCATGGGACAATCAAGCACCATCTGAAGTTGTGGCTAAACAATCAATCAAAGTCAAATTGACATTTCACTGTCGTACAATGCAATTTAAAAAACACAATGGTGGCATAATGGGAGCGGAGAGGGGTAGAATTCTTCTTCGTGCTTGTTTGGCAGAATTTTGTCACCGTGTCAAAAGGTTGAGTAAGTTAATTTGATGATGTCTCTTATCATACAGATTCATTTATCGCTTGGGTTTATCCACAAAAAATAAAAATAAAAAATACACGGCAAAAATAATCACGTTACATCGCAATACTGAGTGAAGAAGAAAAAAAACGTCAATGGATTGTTTTTCAAAAACGTTCAGCCCTCATAAGAAGAATGATTCCAACTTTACGTCTTGGCACAAAATACCCCAAAAGTTAGGCTAATGTTGACGTCAAAAACTTCCAAACTGGAGGGAAAAAAACAAGCCACTAAACCTTTTTTTTTCCTTCAGACAACAGCTGCAAACAGGAAATGAGCAGCTGTCTCCTGCTCGCAGGGATTAATTGATGATTTATTTGTCCATGGATCATTGTTATCATCTTAAAATTATGCGCGGAGGGTTTGCAGGCGTTTGTGACCCTTGAACTTCAACAGCCGGCGTGGCTTTCCCCTCCGATCTAATTGCAGGCTACTTTGTTTACTGTTGACTTATTTGTTATTTATTGCCGGCGCCTGGGCCGTAAACATAAATCACGGCGCTTGCTCATATAAATGTCAGCGTGGACGGGCGAGCTCATAAAGCTCTAATTTGATCGGCGTTCATGTGGGGACGCGCGTGAATAAACGGCGGGCCTCTTCAATCATCGTTTTCTGCATCCTGTCACAAGACGCCCCGGACACGCATCCATCATGCTCCTGATAAGACACACCCACCAGCTGCTCCCCAAAGGCATAGCAGGCACCTGATTGGCCGCCTCCTTCGTGCTCTGCATTTGATTGGTTTATCGCAAAAGCAGTTTTGAGTCATGCAAATGTTGTCCCCTTCAAATTGTACTTAATAATTTACGGCCTCCTAATGCTTTTAAAAAGCAGTTTAGAGGTCATAACGTAGGATGTGTTCATTATAACTGTTGTACTGTTCATGATGCCTGAAAGTTGCTGAGGAAACTGCAAAACAGGGTTACATTTACGTATTAAGTTTGGACAGTTAGTTATGAGCCCTGAAAGGAATTTGAAAAATAATCATTGAGAAAGTAGGAATGATTCACGATGATAACTGAAAGTAAAATTACTAAATTGGGAGGGCAAGGGTTACATTCAAATCAAAATTGTAGTTTTGGAAAGTAAAATCATTAAATTACCAGTTAATTTAGGAAAGTAACAATCATAATGGTCCCTGAAGTGAATTATATACAGAGAAAGCTTTATGAGCTCGACCGTCCCCGGTGACATTTATATGAGCATGTGCCGTGATTTGTATAATTATATTTTTTTAAATGATAAAACATGAAAATGTAACTTCAAATGTTTTTGCGATGAATCAATGCTATGCTCACTCCACTGAAAAAAAAAATAAACATTAACAGCGCATAACGTATTGAAACATTTTGGGGGGAATTATTTCAAGTTTATGCTTGATAGAGTTTTGCTGCCATCTGGCGGCACATGAACGCAATTGCAACTGAGCCCAACGTGCTGACTGCTGGTGTAAAATATGGATTTCTACTAAAAATGTGCGTATACACACACTCGTATAAGAGTTGTTATAATCTTTATTTTTTTTTTTTTTTTTTTCCATTGGGAAAGTGCACATTAATCAGCACAAAAATTTCATAATAAAGCATTTTAACACTGTGTCCTTTGACAGTTTGGAAAATAATTAGCCTCACATTAACAGTATAAAAATGGCGTTTTGCAGCCAAAATCAGCCGATAATTATTAAGCATTGTTTTCCTTGACAGGGCAATTGAGTAGATCAATTGATTCATATATAGGATATTTTTTCATCGTGTCAATCTTGAAAAAAAACTTGCTAGAAACACGAGCATTGAAGTTTGTAACTTTATTGCATTGATAACGTACAGTACATGCGTAGCATGCAATTTTTTTTCCTTGCTACAAAAGTGAGTGAAGATGTTTTTTAAGGTTGTTTTTTTGTTTGTTTTTAGTGTTAGATATTAATTGTGGTGTCAAGGACAGAAATCAAAAGATTTAAAAATTGGTGTTCTGTTTCAAAAAAAAAAAATCAGCATATAATGGCATCTCTTTGATGGCGTTAGCATGGAATGCATCACGTACAAGTCACGATTTAAATAAAAGAATGTCGTTGAGAGTTAATCCTATGATGTCCACAATTGAAGCTCATTCCTTCATTTGGCACCACAAAAAGTGGCTCGTCCCTGTGAAACACACACACACACACACACACACACACACACACACACACACACACACACACACAACAGAACATGCAGTTAGTGCAACATATATCACTGGACATGCAGTTTTTGGGTATAGCTTACGTGAGACCCTGTGGATGATATGTGGTTCAGACTATGTTTTGATTTTTTTTTTTTTACGTGATGTTTATTGTGTGACTTAATGTTAAGTTTATTTTTATTTTTAAACTTGAAGATTTTTAAGCCACCTTGTTTTGTTTTTCCACAGTACAGACATCAGACATCTGCACCTTGACTGCAGTACCATTTTGTGCCACAACCGAGCAGGCAGCACTGAGCTCTACTGGAAGATAGGCAGAGAAGGTCCCTAACTTAAAGTAGCGGTGAGTTGAAGGTTTATCAAGACTCTAACATTGATGCTAAATTCTGTTAGCCCATCGTTTTGCATTATATGGAAGTATATATTTTACAGAAGTTGAACTTGTTGAAATAGATGATGTAATGAAACAATGGCAGCGTCACCTGTTTTCATTTGGTGCCCTTGTAGGTGACCTGTTTGCCGCACTTCTTTAGCGTCTCCAGCAGAATGTCAGCGTCCTTGTCTGACTCGATCCACACCAGCTGATTCGGGAGGTCAATTTCAAACTTGACATCTATGAAACCAACCGTTGGGACATTTTGTGAAATAATGTCCGTCACATTATGCACATTTTGGACATCTCATTCTGTGACTCTCTTACACACACCACTTTGGTCATCACGGTTCTAAAAGATGATCCTGAGTGATCCACACATACCAGAACATCTGAATTTTATTTGGGATTAATCAGAGGCACTTTAAATGGGTGCAGATGAGTCCTGACTTGCATCTAAATTGTGTTTCAAAGTGACTGGTGAATTCTGAACACATCCTCACCAACTTTTAAGAGGGTGCGCATACTTTTGCAAGCACATAATTCCAGTCATTTACTTTTCCATTTTCTTAATTGAGTTATTACAAATCACAGGTCAGATTAATGGTGAGATGTTTTGATTATTTATTTATTTTTTTTTTTATGATTTAAGACTATGTCGCCCAACTGGCCTGGGAACGCCTCGGGATCCCCCGGGAAGAGCTCGAAGAAGTGGCTGGGGAGAGGGAAGTCTGGGCTTCCCTGTTACAGCTGTTGCCCCCGCGACCCGACCCCGGATAAGCGGTAAAAGATGGATAGATGGATGGATGGAAAACCCTGGCACTTTATCAGGGGTGTGTAAACTTTTCCTATTATTTACATTTACAATTTGTCGGTTTATCCGTTATTCCAAGCAGATTGGGGATGAAACAGGAAACCTTCCTGCAGGATAATCACTCGGATAATCGTGCAAAGACATCCGATCATTGGACTTTTACATTTGAAAAATCGGTTAAAATGTTCACTCTCAGGATGGGCTTCTCACCTTCCAACCTACTGAGAATTCGGCTGACAGCGCCGGAACATCCTTCACACGTCATGGCCACGGCAAACTCGTGTTTCTGTCACATTACACAAGAACTCCGGTTCATAAAACTACAAACATTTTATTGAACGTGTGTTCCAATCTGTGACAAAATTACAAACATTTTATTGAATGTGTGTTCCAATCGGTGACAAGTCATCACTTCTTCGTTTGTTGCAGCGGCATAATGAATAAAAGGGTCATGCCAGATTGGGCTGTCACTCTCAGAAATTTTTAGATTCAACTATTTATTTTGGAAGTTTATTGGTATTTTTTTTTTGTTATTATTGTTTATTTAGTATGGTTTAGTGATTAGACAAAAAGAAAAGGACAACAATTCAGCAATATTACACAAGAGGGACCAATGTTGTTCTCACCAGCATTTGTTAAACTGAGTTACAGTGCATGTCGAAATGTGTCACTATGTCATCTTTTTCAAATTAATTATCTGATTACTCCATTAAGTAACCAAGTGATCGGATGAATTTGGTGCAATTAATTTACCACTAATCGAGGGTGAGTAGTTCGAATACAGCACAATGTAGTTTTATGTACACTGAAAATGTCTGGGTGAATGCCATAACTTGGTGCCAGAGAAGCTTCGGGGCAAAAAAAAAAAAAAAAGGTGTAAACATATTTTGTGGTCGATTTATCTTACTTAATTGACTTTTTTTCTGAGCACCTCAACTACAGGTTACTCAAACTATGGCTGTAAATAAAGTGTAATTTTTAAAATAGATTAAACCGACATTTTTTCCTCAATAATTGATAAAATAGTAGTTTTACAAAATAAATGCAGACGTTTGCAGATGTATTTGATGAAACACAAAAGGTAATCAGTCTACTTTCATGGAGGACGATATAAACCAAAGAATTACTTTTAAATCTGAATGTCATTTAGAGGCTGAAACGCCATGTTGGTTTGGATCATTTTAAGTAAACGAATGACAATCGATTGAGCGATTATCAAAATAATTGATGAATTTGACAATGATTATTAAAAATACAATTTTCCTGCGGTGACTTGGCTATTTTGCGTGTCGAAAGCAGACCACTTTGCCAATACAGAGTCCGCTTTCTAAATTGCAATCCCCAGGCCATTTGTGGCGACATGAATCCACATTTCCCGAAAACATTGAATAAGTGTTACGTGTCAAAACAATCAATTGCTAGCATAGCAGCGACGGCACCGCAGCGCCAAGTACTAAAACCCGAGGAGTGCTAATGCAAAAGAAAAGCTCCATATCCAGCTCTGATCATGTTTTAAATATGTCAAGAGAACTCACGGGCATGTTTATGATGATGCGACGTCAATCCGTAGGTGAACTTTTCAACGGAGAGACGAAAAAAACAAATAAACCACCACCTGACTCACGCTTAACAATCAAGCTAACATCCGATTTGAAGAGGAACAGCATTTCCGGTTATTGAATATTGCATATTTGAATAGTTGTTGCATTTTTCTACAAAATACAGACTTATCTCACCAATACACCTCTGTGCTTATATTAAAAATATTTGGTAAACTTCTAAAACGTGACCACAACTCATTTTGAAGTCTATTTTATTTTGTTAATCTTTACCGCTTTTTGTTGTTTATGATGGCATCCGAGCCACCTTAACGTTTTCAGTCTTCAGACAATCGCTTACGTAGGGGTCACCAAATAAAAATCTGAAAGGGACAAAAAATTTTTTTTCGCTAAATTCTCAGTAAATTTACAGAGCTTGATCAGGCCACAAGTAATAATGCAGTAATATTAAAATTAAAAACAACAACAAAAATACGAAGAGGCAAAACATTTCATTTCCATGTTGACAAAAACGAGCTGAATGAAAGAAAACTTGACCCTTGTTATGAATCCAAATATATCAGGAGCTAGCTAAATATGCTAAATTTAGAAAAACAACATCACGCACGAAAAGCACTCTAATAAGTAATAGGGTTGGGGGGGGTTGGTGGAAAGGATTAGGTTTAGCTGGCAACCAGTTCAGGGTGTACTCCGCCTAATGCCTGAAGGTAGCTGGGATAGGCTGTCAAACACGACCCTCGTGAGGTAAGAAAATGAGAAAATGGATGGATGGATTGCTGTCAAATGTCAAAATGGGTCAAATTTGACCCCAAATGTGTGTAAAGGTCAACTTCGAATTACCTTCATACCTTCTACCTTCATTTTCCTGTCACCAGCTAATGAGATTTTCTTTCATTACGATAAGTTTAATTGTATTTCACGTTTTAAATGTAATTTCCATTGACATGTAATTTTCAAACTGCTGATTCCCACGTATACCACTAGAGGGAGCCCGCGTAGCATCTCACTTTCTATTTACTGTACTGTAAATTTGATTTCGCTGAAGCCCCTTTCAATGGTTTATGTCTGGGATCTACAAACTTTTCCACTGAGGGCGACAAACGCAGCACTTCACGTAACAGTGTCATGTAACGTTTTCAGTGTGCCATTTTTTTTTCCTAATGGGTGGGGGCTATGTATATAAAAAAATGGCTATGTATATAAAAAATGATTGGCCATTATTATAGGATGGTGACAATATGCTAAGTAATTAAAAATATTGAAAAACAGTAAGTCTTGCCATGGTGTTTTTGTTGATAAGGTCAAGTTTCCATATGAAATCTATATTTTCTGTCATAAATTATATAAATATTTTGGAACGCTCCACAGGTATACAATATTCAAAATCATACACATTGAATTGGTCAAGAAAATGTGGAAGCTGGAGGTGAATATGTAAATAAAAATATGCTCTTGTTTTGAACATTTTGGAAAATTTTGGAACATGAATAGTTTACGTCAGGGGTCCCCAACCTTTTTTGCCCCACGGACCGGTTTAAGTCAGACAATATTTTCAGGGACCGGCATTTAAGGTGTGGCGAATTAATACAACAAAATAATATGGTATGAGCTGCATGAAAACTGTGGTGTTTTCGAAATATAATAATAAACACAAGGAGCGTCTAATCTGGTCGCAACACTCTTATCGCTCTGGTAATGTTTAATGCCTTCAAAATACGATACAACGCAAATTCAAAGTGCATGAAAATGACGACTCACCACAGCCCCGAGCTTGATTTTCTGCAATCAGACAGTCCCATCTCGGAGTAATAGGAGACAATGACACCTCAAGTGTGTGGTTTATATTCCAGTCTACTTCGTAATTTTGTTTTCGTCGCCGTTGCTGCAGAAACCCCCCCGACTCACACAGGTAGGATGTCGGAAATAGCAACAGTGCTATTGTGGCGATCTCAGAGTATTCAGACATAACTTTAAATCCAGTTGTCTCGAACATACTTTTAAGGCCGCCGTCATTTGCGATCTAAGGCAAGTTCTTTCTGTGCGGCCCGGCCCCAAATGCCCTGCGGACCGGTCCCGGTCCGCGGCCCGGCGGTTGGGGACCCCTGGTTTACGTGATTGTTTTCGTGAGTGGAACATATGTTCTCTACTTGATTTGTGAACTTGATTGCAATACAAGAAATTAACTAATACATTTTTGTCCTTGTTTCCAAGGGTCACACACTCCACCACCTTGGCACGCTGTGTTGCCAAAACATGCCCGCACACACACACACACACACACACACACACACACACACACATTACCGAATGAAGAATTGCAGACCCCTTGGTTCAGTTATTATTAAAACCAGTTAAGTCAAGTTCACGTGCATTTGAAGTCTTCAAGTTTAAGAAGTGGAAACAAGCCAGCAACTATTCACGGCTTCATATTTTGTCGTTTGCGCTACAGGAACGAGACCTGCTGCTTTTATGAGCACAGAGTAGTACTGTTGCTGAACCTAATTACTATCCTCGCTCCTGCACTGACTTTCACTGTCACTGATGATTCGTGGATCACTGAGCACATGCTTTTGAATCAGTCAACTGTCATTGATCTTATCCTGAACTACTGAAGATGTTCTTGGTGTAACATGACTTCATGATTGTGAACATTCTAGATCCGTAATTTGTTGCAACAAAAACATTACAATGAATGAATCATTTGTAATTAATAATTATGATTACAATTGCCAACCCAACTACACGTTTGAACAGCACCTTAAAATGTTCAACTCACGATAATAGCGTGCCACATAGGGGATAATAGCAAATGATTTGGAACACAGACTTGATGTGGCGAGCGTGACGACAGCAACTGGGGAGCATGTTGGTGATGTCATGCACAGACCTTAAAATGCGGCCACTATCCCCTTGAGTCAAGTTTGTATCGATCTGCAGGGAGGACCAGACCCAAGCAAGACTGCATGATGTATTTGCTGTTGCTTTGTTTTGTGTTTGAAAGACAACGTGCCTATGTTCGTGTCTTAGGAAGTGGCTGTTCAAATTTAATTTCCTCCTATTCCATTTTCTCCATCTCCACTGCAGTGTCGACAGTGCAGTGTCTTATCTGCATGCTCTCCATCACACACAGACACACACACACACACACACACACACATACACACACACACACAGAGTCACGCATACACACACTGGCTCGCACCCTCCCACCCCCACAGCTTACGTCGTCTGTGTCTGCCACCGTCAGACATGAAAGTCAGACATCAGTGTTTTTAATATCCAGTACATGCAACTCCGCATTTTGAGTTGCGCACCTTCAGTGTCATACCATGTGATGCCACAACATGGGGCAGCACTGGACCGAACTAGAAGAGATACTGTGGAATTAAGAGCAAGGAGAATAGGCAGAGAAGGTCCCATACCAAAATGCAGTAAAAGTGCTTGTTTACATAAAGGAGAAAAAATATATGCGTGTGAGTTTTATTGTATGTTGTTTGTTTGCGTTGCTACTCCGTGTGTTTTAATGTAGCAGTCGTTTGTAGATTTAAAATTACTCTTAGGGATGTCCCAATCACATTTGTTGAGTCTGAGTCCAAGTCACTTGATTTTTAGTATCTGCAAATATCGAGTTCCGGTCCAATACCTCATCAATTCTTCCAGAGTAGAAAAACAATGCTCAGTCATCTCAGTCCAATAAAGGCATCCCAACATGATACGGGTACATTTTTATCTGGCTATAATTCAGCAAGGGTTTCAAATCAAGTAAACAAATCAAATATTTTATTTCTGACTTTAGAAATTGAGAAAATGTAAAAATCTGGTCCTGATGTTAGCTTTAAGATGACGGACTTTCGTTACAGGAAATGGTTCAGTTGAATATTTAGCTGTTGAAATATGCATTGTTTAATTCTCTTTTGTTTTATGTTCCGTCTGGATGCGTCGCTACTCCATGTGCATTAAAGTGGCAAGTAAATTATAATAACATCTTGCTAATTGACATTAGCCCATCAATGGTGTTTAGCATTATATATTAGCATCAAGCTAGTGGCCTAGCCAAAATGATATGGTTTTTTTGAACATTGTGGTGTTTAAATTTTGTACATTATGTATTTACTATATTTGTTTTACTAAGATTGACTGATTACTTGAAGCAGGCACATTTTGCCTTGTTTGTAGCCAGCAAAAGTCTTCTTTTCCTTTTCTCAAAGTGATGTTATATGATAGTCTCCCATTCCTTGACAGCGAGAGTTTGAGAATAAGCATTAAGGAAAACTTTCACAAGTTTGATTTAATATGTTTGTGTGAGAGGTATTGCAAATGTTGAACCGATTGTGTCTGGTTTTATATTCCCGCGCGAAACACGGGACTTCTATACATAGTCACTGTGTCCTAAAAGTGTAGAAGAAACACTTTAAATGTTCTCTCACTTTACTCGCTTGTGGATTCCATTTGGAAAACCAGCTTGTGGCTCTGCCACGACTGTACTGTGGAGGGAGCTCTCAGTGAAAGAGAGGAGTCACTATGGAAACATCTGCAACCATTGGCCGCCCGCTTGCCGCTTCCGGCTGTCCGAGGGATCCAATTGGCCTGCCTCCCTTCCTCCCACCTTTTATTCAGCTGGCTGGTTAGTGTGTGCCTGGCCGGTAGGGCGTTAAATCATTAGCGTGGGCTCTGTCAAGGACGCTGCCTCCCTCTTAGAGTGTGATTCATGTCACGTTAGTCAGTGGCTCTGTTGGGATGACTGAATGATTCCGAAGACAGGTACTGTAAAGCAAATAAAGGAGTCATTCCCTCAGAATACTTCAGGTGTGTTTAAAATTTGTTACTTTTTACATAATGTTTGATAGAGTTTACAATTGGGGTCACGGAAAAAAATCCGTTGAGGCCATTCAGAAGTCAGGAACCAAAAAAAAAAGTACTGATCTCAGGAGCCATCCTTATCGACAGGAGGTATTCATTTTCACATAAGTGTACACTGCAAAATGCAAAGGTGGCAGAGCATTTTATTTGAAGAAGACTTACTTTGCTCCTGCACCTTAGCATGTCTTAGCCATCACAAGTGCATCCAGGTACCCCTGCCCTTCATCCATACATCCATCCATTTTCTAATCCGCTTATCCTCGCGAGGGTCGCGGTTGTGCTGGAGCCGATCCCAGCTGTCTTCAGGCAGTAGGCAGGGAACACCCTGAACTGGTTGCCAGCTAATCGAAGCCGTGCCCTTCGGTTTACAGCTAATACTGCACTACCTGCACACATAATGAGATAATGAGAGTGCCACTGCCACCTACTGTAGTGGATGTATGCATCACTTTATTCTTGTGATGCAAAAAATCATGCTCCATGAGGTCTCTCTCTCTCTCTCTCTCTCTCTCTCTCTCTCTCTCTCTCTTTCTGATTTATCGAAGGCATACGGTCCCTTGCCCATTCCTACGGAAGATGATTAGGGCCAATGAAGAAAAAAAACCAAGGTTGACAGGATTCTCACTTTTATCTCAGAAATTATAACATAAGATAAGATTTTATTTGTCCCACAAATTGTGACCTTTATTCTCAGACTTCTGACTTTGTGACGTTCGTGGAGCTAGGACTTCTGTGTGTGTGTGGGGGGGGGGGGCGGAGGTGACATCAGCGTGTGGTGTGGCTTTGAAGAATGGACAGAGTGTAGTCACCTCGCGACTCTTTGCGTGGCTGCGGATTGTCGGAGGACATCCTTTCACTTTCGGTGGAGCAGAGGGTGAGTAAACTACGGAAGAGGATTAGGACCAATGAAGGGGGAAAAAAAACAAGGTTGGCAATAATGTCAATTTTATCTCAGATTTCTGACTTTATTCTGAGAATTCTCACTTTAAAGTCAAGAGTTCGGAGAATACAGGACAGGACAAAGAATTTGTCAACCTTGTTTTGTTTTTTCCTTCACTGGCCCTAATCCTCTTCCGTACATTTCTATTTATTACTTCCTCCCTCCTCCGGCTGCTCCCCTCCCTGTTTGTTTGTCTTCGCATGTTTCTTTGCCTCCCTTCCTGCCTCGTGGTCATCATCAGCACCCTCCTTCTCTTCCGCCTCCTCTTCTTCCTCCTCCACCTTCAGCGCCGCACAATCTTTAATTGGTTAGTCCATGTACTACATTTATTCTGTCAACCATTGTGTGGTTTTTTTTCCGCCCCTTTCCAGTTACGACGAGGATGATGCGGAAGAAAAGGATGCAAAAGACGCTAAAGTAAGAAGAAGAGGAAGTGGGACGTAAGGAGGAGCTATTCTTTATTTTCTGGGTGGATGAGGGCGGCACGGTGCCAGCTGGTCTGGAATGCAGACTCCAATTGAACGAGCTGCACCTTTTTGTCTTGAACGTTTCAAGGACGCCGACCTGCTCAGTGACTTTGTCGGACAAACGCGCACTGCGGTGACTGCCTCTGCCTCCAACATGTTGACGTGAATGCAACGGCGACGCAGGGTGGGCCTGGCACTGGCAGCCTACCTCCACCACCCCTCCCCAACATGCCACACTGATGTCCTCGGCGTAGTTTAGTTTTTTTACCCCCCATGGACATTCAACCCTGCTATCTCACCCCAGTCCAACTTCAGCTGCCACTATTCCCAGCAAGAGCCAATAAACCACAGCACCCCTCCGCAGAACCCCCCCCCGTGGAGATTTTCCATCCGCGCATCGTCGTTTCCATTTGTTCCAGTGCGTCTCGTCGGTCATGGCGGTGAACGTGAGCGTGGGCCGGGACACTAAATGGCTGACCCTGGAAGTGTGCCGCGAGTTCCAGAGAGGCACCTGCTCGCGCTCGGACGCCGACTGCAAGTTTGCGCACCCGTCGCGCAGCTGTCATGTGGACAACGGCAGAGTCATCGCCTGCTTCGACTCGCTCAAGGTAAGCGGGCGGCGGACAGCATAATATTTGCGCTGTCGCTCGGGTTGAGCTGCAGGTGCGTCACTGTTTACATTGGGAAGCTGGTTTCCGTTAAAACATCTCATGGTTTGCTTGCTAATGACACAAATACACTCGTGCGTAGGTCTATGGTTTAATTCATTCCTAGTTCACCTTTATCACGTTACAGCAAGACCATAAAAAACGTGGTTGAATAATGCATTGTGATTTTTGTAAAACCACAATGAAACATAATCCATTTTACTCCAAAATAGTGTTTTGCCACAATCTTTTGGGTTCTTGGTTCCAAGGAAATACAGTGGACCTGACATACTTGCAGTTTTGCAGCCACATAAAAAGTTGCATATTTGCAAATTTTTTTTGGCAATTGAAGAACCTGTTTCCCATATTTTTTAACAATTTTTTTAGAGGAGTCCCCCATTTATTGTGGAAATGCAATCCATTTCAGTGAGCGTCAGTTATATGCAGACTTTCATTATTTGTGGTAAGGCCCGTTCCCGAGCTTGAATTAAATTGAGCAGGTTCAGTTACATATCGTAGTGCCTTGACGCCATACTGTGGCGTCTTGGTGCCAAGAAACTTTGTTGAAGTTAGTTGAGGAGCGTCATATTGACCAAAGTAGTAATTTGCCACCATTTCTTGGCACCTTTATGTCAGCCAACAATGTTGAGGTGAGTGGAGGATTTTCATTCAGAATTCTAAACAGAAATTGTGACCTTGTGGCGTTTTGTTGCCAAGAAACTATATTGAAATGAGTTTTTGTTGAAGAGTGCTTGATGACATCTTGCGACAAGGAACTATGTGAAAATTAATTGAGGAGCTTTATTTAGACAAACATAGTCCCTCAGCCACAACCTTGGTTCCAAGGAACTATGTAGATGTGATTTGGGGAGTTTCATTTTCAGTAGAAGGCTCTTTGGAGTTTCATATTTTGGCTCTCAACATAAAGCAAAAAAAAAAAAAAAAAAAAAAAAAAAAAAAACCCGCAGAACGACTGCTCGTAATTTGAACAACTCCCAAGCCGCGGCACTCTGAAGTTAAGTTAGCAGTGTACCTTTGCATTGATTGCGAAAACTATCCCACTCCCTGTCTACCACGTTTATGAGCAGTACAATCAAACAGGTTCCTCCTACAATCCTTGGGTAGTTTCAGTTTGGCTCTCCTCTAAGCAAGTGACATCTGCAGGTGTGTCTTTTTGTTCACATGACGACTTGTCAGCGCCTGGCATACGAGCTGAGGAGAGCCTTGTTAAATGTGCGTGAGCATCGGCCAAAACCACATTTTGAAAAACACCTTGTGCACTTACATTATTATCATCAGGAAATTTTCCTTTGACCAGATAGTAGACTGAAGAACCAAAATACATCATTTATCATCAAGGAAAAAAAATGTGTGTGACTTTTTTTTTGTCTGTTTGTTTGTCTTGGTGATATTATGAAAGTGGATCATTTCCCACACCCCACCAGATGATCTCTCACAGCTCACGGGTTGGGAATCACTCTTAAAAAAAATTTACCACAAACTTTGTTCCCGAAACATTTCAGTAACATTTCAAACTCATCTTGCAACATGAACCCAAGAAAATAAATGTCTTACTGAGAGTTGGATTTCACGTGACAAAACCGTAACACGTAACAAACCTGGCTAAACTTAGTTCCACAAGATTCCATTTCCACATATTTCCTTGACACTAAACACTATGTTCTGACAGGGCTTTGACGGCATCTTGTGCCATTTTTAGGGTGTTGCAGAAAGCCCACAAAAATATGCAAATAACTTAACTTTTTCAGCAAATACCTGTACAGAATATGAGGATCGGTTCAACATAAAAAAAGGGTGAATTTGTGATTAGGTGGCGCTTCCCTCTACTAGTGATAGCAAAGTGATACCTTAACTTACAAGTGCCCAATTAAAAGCTTAAAGGCACAAATACAACACCAGCGTTACGACTTTCACAATGTTTGTTTTTATCCAACAGAGTGCTATTTTTCCTTGTTGAGGCTGAACAAAATTGGGGAGGGTGGGCTTGAAAGGATGAATGCTGTTTCATTATATTTCAACGTTGGAAATGAATTTGGTACATCTCAACTAAGTCACGTCGAGACATGGACCGGTTGCTGCCTAGTGCATCCTAAACCCTCAGCGCAGCGGCACTTGTGACTCACACGCCTTTGCTACTCATCCCCAACCCAAAGCGTCGGAAAATATTGCTTTACTTTCTTCAGGCTTTCAATAAAGCGCTTTGCGACAAGTCAATGTACGACACGCCACAGTAGACTTTTGGCTGAACTTCCGCTTCAGGGTTTTGGTTCAAGCATTGCCTTAATTTGTCTCCCTGATTTGGGACAGCTGCATACAACATCATATTAACACTTACTGATCAGCAACACTTAGAAAGCCAGTACACAAAGAGAAATAAAAATTGTGTATTTAAACATCAAAATGTTCAATGGTTCCATATAATTTTGTCTCATAAACATTGGCTAGCTTGATGCTAAAATACAAACTCCCATTAAGTTAGCATGAACTTAGAATGTTATGCTTACAACACATTCCAAGAAAACTGGGTCAGGGTCATGTTTACCACAGTGTTCAATCACCTTTTCTTTTAACAACATCCAATAAACGTTTGGGAACTGAGGACAGAAATTGTCGAAGCTTTGTCGGTGGAATTCTTTCCCATTCTTGTTTGATTTACAGCTTCAGTTCTTCAACAGTCTGGGGTCTTCGTTGTCATATTTTACACCTCATAATGCGTCACACATTTTCAATAGGGAGACAGGTCTAGACTGCAGGCGGGCCTGTCTAGTACCCACACACTTGCTGTTGTAAGACGAGTTGACATTGTCTTGATGAAATAAGCAGGGGGGTCCATAAAAAAATAATTTTTTTGGTTCTGCTTGCATATATTTCTCCAAAACCTGTATGTACCTTTCAGCATTAATGTTGACTTGACTGAACAGATGTGTACGTTATCCGTGCCATTGGCACTTAAAACAGCCCCACACCATCACAGATGCTGGCTTTTGAACTTTGCATCCATAGCGGTCCGGATGGTTCTTTTCCTCTTTGGCCCAGAGGACACAACATTCACATTTTCCAAAAATAATTTAAAGTGTGGACTCGTCAGACCACAGAACACTTTTCCATTTGGCATCATTCCATCTTTGATGAGCTCAGCCCAGAAAAGCCGGTGGCATTTCTGGGTGCTGTTAGTGAATCGCTTTTGCTTTGCATTGTAGAGTTTTAAATTACACTACCGGATGTTGCGCCAAACTACTGACATTGGTTTTCTACCTGTGTGAGGTGGGGAGTTTCTGCAGCAACAGCGACTAAAACAAAATTACGAAGTAGACTGGACATAAACCACACACTTGAGGTGTCATTGTCTCCTATTACTCCGAGATGGGACTGTCTGATTGCAGAAAATCAAGCTCGGGGCTGTGGTGAGTCGTCATTTTCATGCACTTTGAATTTGCGTTGTATCGTATTTTGAAGGCATTAAACATTACTAGAGCGATAAGAGTGTTGCGACCAGCTTAGACGCTCCTTGTGTTTATTATTATATTTCGAAAACACCACAGTTTTCATGCAGCTCATACCATATTATTTTGTTGTATTAATCCGCCACACCTTAAATGCCGGTCCCTGAAAATATTGTCTGACTTAAACCGGTCCGTGGGGCAAAAAAGGTTGGGGACCCCTGGTCTAGAGGACTCTTTTCCTCTTTCGCCTGGTGGACACTCTGCCTCTTGTTCTTCCTTACGCTGCTGTCTTCCAGTAGCTCAGTGCTGCCCCCGGGCACGATAGACGAACGAGGAACTGTGATATAATAAAGGTCCACTGTGCATTCAGGGGGTCTGATGATATGACACTTTTTAAGCCTTGTTGTTCAAAGTGTGGTTTTGCGAGATGTTTGGTGCCTGCTGCAAAGGGAAAGTGTGAACGAGACGAGTGGTTTCATATACCAGAGCAGCCCAGAGCCTCCGTCTCTTTGCTTATTGAATTTGAATGCATTACTGGTCCATTTTCCATGCGATGTTCTCCAGAGCAGCAAAGAGATGGAGAATGGAGAGTAGAGGGGGGGACAAGGGAGACTAGAGAGGGGGCCTAGCAACAGCATAGGCGTGCGTAGCCATTGGATAGTTTGATCTTCCTCAATGGCAAGGCTGTTTTTAGCGCAGAGCAACAGTCTGCCTCGGTATTGCTGGCATGGAGGGCAGCAAGAGGCCTGCTGCCAGGTGGACGCATTGGAGGCCTCGTGTGACTGTTTCAAGCACCCCCCCCCCCCACCAAGTTGTTCCCGGCCAAAGGTCTTGTGATACGAGTGTCCCAAGTTTCCCAAGATACGAGCCATCGTTCTGCCGCTGTCTTATTTATTTATTTTTGTTGCTTTGACTTATAAGCAAGATATTAGCCCTGTATGGTGGCAGCGGACTCTACTCAAATCAGCGGTTTGGTCGTGAACACTTTTTTTTCTTTTTGCCACACCAAATTGAAGTTTTCTGTCAGACTAAACAGAAGACAAGGAGTGTTAGATGTATTTAAAAATAATCACATAGCCTCTGTTAGCTTCATGCTAACATGTAATGGAAAAAACCATTGACAGTTTAAAAAAATAGCATATATTTAACAGTGTCATCATCCTTTAAGCAATGGATATTTGTACACAAAATTCAGACACACGTGTAACCAAACAGTATAACAGTACTTTCAGGTACATATTGGTTATCCTCTTCGAAGACTGCCTGATAATTCTGCGGCTTACTAATGAGTGACCTTCTCCACGTTTATCACTATGTCTATATTATACTGACCTCAGGTGCAGAGGCCCGGGGTTCGATTCCAGCCCCGGCCTTCCTCCGTGGAGTTTGCGTGGGTGTTCTCTGAGTACTCCGGTTTCCTCTCACAGTCCAAAAACATGCATGGTAGGTTGATTGAATGTTCTAAATTGTCCCTAGGTGTGGTTGTGAACACAAATGGCTGTTTATGTGTGCCCTGCGTTTGGCTGGCAACCGGTTCAGGGTGTAGCCTGCCGACTGCCAGAAGACAGCTGGGATAGGCTCCAGCACACCCAGCTTGCTGACCAAGTGGAAGCTACGTGGAGGTCATTCTGAACAGCCGACCTGCAGTGAGGGGTTTCAGGCTGAATGCAGTTCCTTCCGCCTTGTTGACATCCAGTACTACTGCACCAACACCTTTTAGGATGTTACCGCACAAGGAAAAAACATTTATTTATTTTAGACCCATCGCTGTCCAGCCAGTAAAAACAATCAATTCAGATCCCGGGAGTCACTTCGGATGGACAGTGGTGTCTTGAGATACGAATGACCTGACATTTTGAAGATACGAGTTGTCGCTGTATGGCCCAAGTGAAGTCAACTAACTTCACAACAGGCAGCGGTTTAGCCCATAGTAAAGAATCCTTGAAAAAAGTCTTCAAGCTGTTTATTGCACTCCCATTTGAGGTTTGCAGTCCAACTGACACGTAAAACAAAGAAAAGGTGAATTTTAAACAACCACGTAACCTCTGCTAGCTTAATACTATACATAATGGCAAATCGTCATAGATGGGCTAGTGACTACCATTGGTTTTGTTGTGTTGTTAAGTTAACCTTAAGCAATGGCTATTTTAACAAGTTTATGGATTATATAATTATTACAAGCATATATTCTTGATCCACTGTGAAAAACAACAAACATTCCTGCACTTTCCTGAGATGTTCCCGTCAACTTGTACAGTATGTCCGTATTGTACTGCCTCCAGGCGGCCATAATGAGCAGCACAATGTACGTTGAACTGAGGCAAAAATGTAGCAGAAATAATTTAATTTCTTTACATTCTGTTTAATTATATAATTACTGTCATTTTTAAGAGAAGTAGAATATGATATTATAGTTGTTTTTTTTTTAATCAAATAACAAATTACAAACCATTTTGTTGATTTTCAAAAATGGAAACTCTCCAGGGGAAATAATGAGAAGGAATGAGGAATTTACAAAATTGAAGTTTGGCTTTTAATATGGGACTTAAATGCAGTTGAGAACATATATTTTAGCATCATTTTGTCTAACACAAGCAGATTTCCTAAAATGACACTGGTACTATGTGCCCTAACACTTTAGGTCAAAAAAAGATGGTAATTAGCAATTGGCAACAGGGATCGGTGAGACTTGACCATCTGTTTGCACTCGAACTTTATCTCATCAGTCTTGTTTGTTCAACTGGTTTGCCACCAGGACAATTCACAAACTGCGCAAATGTTGAGTGCAGTTACATTTGAGTCAAGGAACTATACTGCACTATTTCCAAAATATGCAAATTAGCATAATTGAATTAAACTGTCCGTTGTATGGGTCTAAAATTGTGAGAGGTACTTACGGCATTGCATCATACACATATAAGGAGTCGGCCGTTTGAGGCAGAGTTCTCATGAGTGAGTGAATGAATGCTCATTTGTCTGCCTTGAGATTGGCTGGCGACCAATCCATTGTGTACCACGCCTCCCATCCTAAGTCAGGTGGGGTGGGTAGACCTCAGTTTACCGGTGACGCCAGTGAAAGCAAGTGCTTCATAAATTGAGACAGATTGACCTTCTTTTTATGTGGACAATTTTCTTGCAATTACATGTCTGAATTGTGCTTTACTCAGACATAACGTTGCCAATTGCGTCTCTGACCATGTACAATTTTCGAGACAGCTGGCGCATTACTCATGAATTATCCACCACGAGCACCTCAGAGACCTCATTAGTGCTTAATTTCAACAGGACTTACAAAATGCCGCCCTGTATTTAAAGCCCATTTGACGTTTAGCGAACAAGTTGTTGTTTTGCCATGCTCATGGGAAAATGTGTCGTATCAACTCAACTCAACTGTATTTATAGAGCACTTTCAAACAGCCATCGCTGAATACAAAGTGCTGTACATGGAGCATGTCATTATTTGAGCCACAAATTAATTTTGTTGTTGTTTTTATTCTCATTTTGTATTTCTCACTGTGGTGTGTGTGTGTAAAAGTAGCAGTGTGAAGGTTTATAATTAGCATCTATGCTCATTTCTGTTAGCCTTCAGTGGTGTTTCACTTTATATGTTAGCATTAAGCCAGTGGGCTTTCGGGACAAAAAAATGAAATTGTTTCGTTGAACATTTGGGTGTTTAAATGTTTCATTTCCATTAATGTGTGAGTTTTACAATAAATTTTAACTGGGAATAGCTTAACAGCTTGATGCTAGCAGTGCCTCTTATTTGGACAACTCTGAGCAAGACAGTCTTTTTTTTAATGGATGTTATATAATATTCTTCCACTGTTTGACAGCGAAAGCTAAGGGAGGCTTTAAAACGTCTCTTTTAATAAGTGTAAGTGTGTGGGAGGGATAAAGTATTTAAAAATGTTTTCAAATGGTCTCTGTGTCAAACTACAATAGGGGAGGTCTGTGAGAAACGGGGCTTTACTTTACAACCCTTCAAATCATTCTGTTAAGAATTCCAAGATTGTACTGGTTTAAGACGAGTGCTTTGCTTTAAGGTGGTCCGAGCAACTTGATGCTTGAACTAAAATCTGCACCTGTGATGTTCATCTTTTGTGGTGGCCTGATAATGTCCTACTGTTTCGTAATGGAAATTATTGTGTGGTCCGGTGTTTGGAGCAGTGTGCAGTGTGTCACCTCTCCTGTTCTTTTTTTTTTTTTTTCAGGGCCGGTGCGCGCGAGAGAACTGCAAATACCTGCATCCTCCTCCGCACCTCAAAACCCAGTTGGAGATTAACGGCAGGAACAACCTGATTCAGCAGAAGGCCGCCGCCGCCATGTTGGCTCAACAGATGCATTTCATGCTCCCCGGAGCGCAGCTGCAGCCCATCGTGAGTCCACCAATGACATCCATTCTCAATTCTTAAAACACAGTGACGCAGTGAGCCACTTGTATCTCATTGGATATATTGCAGACCCACCTGACATAGGTGAAAATCTGAATTCTGGAAAAATAGTCTTAATGCTAACATATAATGCAAAAAAATTCTAGGTGAGCGAATGGATATTAGCATTGCTATTATATTCTTCATTCTCTGTGAGAACAACGGCTATTAAATTGGCTAATGGTCAAACTATAGTACAATGAAGGGTCATCCATTTCTTCTTTCCTCGGAATTACGCTTCATGTATTTCAGGCAAGCTCAGTGTTGCTCGGCACATTGTGGCACAATGTGGTACTACACTGAAGTTGTGGAATTCTTTGAATCTTTTTTTTTTTTAACTCTAAAAAGATTGCTTAAAAATGTGCGACATACTGCAGCACAATTTTGCTGTACCATGATGACCAACCAACAGCTCGTAACTTCAAAAACTCTTAAATAGGGGCAATCTCAAATCAAGGCATCAATGTAAGGTATACACTTTTGGTGACATTTTCGTTTGGTGGTAATGACATGAGATGTTCTAATGTATATTATGTACCTTGGATCAATAAATATTGGGAGGCACTGATGTATTGAACGCCAGTTTTTGAAACCCACAGACAACATTCCCCATGACACCCTCCCTTACGACCAGTCCCAGTATGGCATTCAGTCCGTACCTAAGCCACATGGGCCCGGGCATGGGCTTGATGCCTGACCTGCTGCCCAATACACCCCTGCTGGTCCCTGGGAGTCCTCCCGGCCTGGCGGCTATGGGCAGCGGCACCACCGTACCCAAGCACGCACGCACCGACAAGCTGGAGGTATGCGTGTACGCATTTTGTGTTCCTGTGGCGCACGCTTAAAGGTCAACGCAGGTCATTGCTCTCGCAGGTTTGCCGCGAGTTCCAGCGTGGGAACTGCACACGCGGAGAGAGTGACTGTCGTTACGCGCACCCCTTGGAGGCCGGCATGGTGGACTGTAACGAGAACTGTGTCATCGTTTGCATGGACTACGTGAAGGGACGCTGTGGCCGGGACAAGTGCAAGTACTTCCACCCTCCTACTCACCTGCAGGCCAGGATCAAGGCCGGGCACAACACGGCTTCTGCCGCCTTGGTGAGTCACACTTCACTTCCCAGCTAGGGAGGTCAATACTAAGTGGTTATTCGTTGGCTATGTCAGTAGATACTAGGTTGGTAGGAATGTAGATTGATAGAAGCCAGAAACAAGACAGGTAGATAGGTACTGGGTTGGTATTGCGATACTGTGTAGGTAGGTAGGTAGGTGAGAAGTAGAAACTATGTAAGTAGTATACAGGTGAAATTACAAAGGTAAGTAAGCATTCTCACATGCATTAATGACTATGAACTTTAATGATGCTAACATGCATGCCTGAGATGAGATCCGAACCCTGAACCTTAGACTGTGACACTGTGCTGCCCTAAAAAATTAGATGCACGTTTAAAAATGTGTAGACAGAAAATTGCAGGAAGCCCCGGAAAAGTTGCCTGACACTCAGTGGGCTGACGTCACGTAATCCCTTATTGCATACGGCAGCGCCCTCTGGTGGTAATTATTAGAGATTTCTGTAAACGGCAAGCTATGCAATACAGGGTGTTTACAATTTAGTTCCGTTCCTACAGTACTGACATCACTTCACTGTGTACGTAAATTGAAACATGTAGTAATCTAAAAAGAACCTGTGCTAAAATAGTAAGAAAGTCGTAATTATCGGAAACATTTGTCGAACACAGAATTCTAGGACATAAATATAAAATAAATGCAAAACATCCACCCACCACTTTCTAATCCGTTTATCCTCACAAGTGTCGCGGGCGCGCTGGAGCCTATCGCAGTTGTCTTCAGGTAGTTGGCGAGGTACATCCTGAACCAGTTGCCAGCCAATCGCAGGGCACACATAGGCAAAAACCATTTGCACTCATACTCACACCTAAGCACAATACAATAACCTGCCATGCATGTTTTTGGAATGTGGGAGGAAACCGGAGTACCCGGAGAAAACCCACACAGGCACGGGGAGAACATACAAACTCAACACAGGAAGGCCCGGAGCTGGAATCGAACCCTGCACCTCTGCACTGTGAGGTGGACGTGCGAACCAGTCGACCACGTGCCACACTTATAGATGTTACAGTCATTTAAACCTTCAAACAATAGCTAATTTAACACGCTGAGCAGCAACACATCTAAACAAAGCATATAACAAAACAGAAGTAAACATTGTGTATTGAAACACCAAAACGTTGCATCAAATCTTTTCATTGGTTTTTGAATGTGTGGGGGGGCTAACTTCATGGTCCGCGGTGGGTGTGGTCAGGGTGTTCCGGCGGGAGGCGTGCAGTCGCTACCAAAGAGGCAGATGTTGGACAAGAGCAACGACGCCCCCGTCTTCAACCCCAACATGTTCCACTACCAGCAGGCCTTGGCCAGCATGCAGCTGCAGCAACCGGCCTTCATCCCCACTGGTGAGTAAACGGCTGCTGTGCACTCCCCTCCAACGAGACATTTTACCATAACGCCAATCTCTCATGTGATGTGTACCCCCAAGTGCCAAAGGAAGTTGCCTTTTTCCGAAATAAAAATCAGGATTTGACAGACCTGAGTCTTTTGTTCAGACTCATGACAGTATGACCTTAAAATCAAACTTCTAAAAGGGAAAAAAGTCATATTTTAACAAATAAAATTCAAAAATACGACTTTAATAACACATCCTCTGTTTGTAAAAATCATCAATGTCACAGGAATGAAAAACTTGCCTATTTTCGGGAGAAAATAAAGTCAGTAGTGTTACAATCAATTCAGTTGTTGTTTTTTTTCGAGTATCAAAAAAGCTCTGAGGTTCAAGAGAAAAAGCTTACAATGTTTCCAAGAACAAAGATGTATTTCGTCCAAATAAAACGAGAAAAATGAGCAACTGGGAATTCATTGGGCTGACCGGATTAGTATGACAACACATCAAAGCTAAAATCTGATTGGACTAAAAAAAATTACCGTCCCCACACATGTACTGGAAGCAGTGCAGTCGAGGCAAACGCAACTAAATCAACACAAAAAATTGAAACAATTTCAGGATACAGACATTGACATTTAGCTCTTAAATGTATTTCCAGTGAATTTAATTTGTTAAATG